GGTTGACAACCTTATTCATGCCCCGTCAGGTCAGGTCAGCAGCGGCACGATACGTCGTAAATAATTCTCGAAGTAAAATGTTTAGTGAATTGTGGTTTTTCGCTACTGAATAGCTCCCGTTGACGTATTGTAATGACTCATTGTCTGCCTTACACTCAAAACCGATTTGAAATATACATTCGGGTCCATACACTTAAGTTTATTATTGATCAGTAAACTCCGGACGCTTCGGACGAACATTGCAAAGACAGACAGGGTCCGGCGCGATTTCATTATAGAAACTGCTACAGATAGGAAAGGCTAACTGCTATTAGGAAAAAAAAGTCAATTCCGGCTGAAATTTTTATAACGCCGGCTGTCATATGACTGACTACATATACAGGGTACGGTATCTCAGTCGGGAAAACTTTGAGGGGTTATCTGTCGTAACAGGCATGTGTTCATTTGCCATTTCTGGCATTAGAGGAAAGCATGTTTCCTTTAGAGAAAACTAACAAGCTTGTCATGATAGAAAACAGTGGGTTAATCTTTTTATTGTAGTGAAAAAAGAGCTACTTTTCAATTTCGTTGCGATGGACGAATATTAACATAAAAAATTTCTGGGAAATCAACGTTTTGTCAGCTTCTGAGAAATCCCAAAAATATTTCTGAGACAAACCGGTAAATTTTCGATAGATTTTAGATTTACAAACCCCAGAAATGTACCACAAGAACTCAAGAGTCACTATTCATCTAGGGCTTAATTTAAAAAAATGAAATGTTAATTGATAGTTGGCTCAGCTAAATAAAAAATGAAATGTTAATTGATAGTTGGCTCAGCTAAATATATTGATTAGTACTTTCGAGCTTGCTTGCGTTTGTTTGCGCATTTTGAACTCTCTAGCGATTCTGAGCCTTGCATTTTTGCAGCACTTGGCCTAATAGCAGTCCAGAATTGAATTGCCAGTTATTTTATATGTAACATATTTGAGCGAAGTTTGGCAAAGTTATGCCTGCCAGTATAGCTTGACACGCGCCTACAGTTGAAAGGGCATTTGCGAACTAAGGAAGGAATATTCTGAAAATGGGTAGTAATATGGCTTTAGTCCCAAATTTGAGCTGTAGTCTCGATGCATTCTGACTATATTGAATAAACATAATCGTTAAAAATGACACTTCTAGCAGATGTTAAAAATTCCATTGAGATATGGTTTTATTTAGATACGCAAAAAAGAGGTTCCTGTTTTTCTTGTTTAGGTTCTATATCCTGTAGAGAACCGTTTGTGTCCGATTTTAATGTTTTAATCATTGATGCATTAATATGATCCATTTCTCAAAAAAGGTAATTTCCAAAACGTCTTTGTTTTCGCTGTAAAACGTATTAGACAACGAACCACTGCAGGCTATGGTCATACTCATTTTTTGCAAGCTATGAACATACATGTAGGATCTTCTTTTCTATCATACATTCGGTAAGTACTTTACAATTAAACAAAATTATAGGTATATAGCTACCTATGATGGGTTATACGAACATGTTCGCCTCCTGCACTCAATAGGTTCTCGGAAAAGAAGCAATGTTGTGTCCCAAAAGTGATCTCGAGGTGAAGATCATTGCTTAAAAGAAGAAAAGGAACCGTTGCCCACGTCGGTCAGGTTGACGATAATGAAGGCTTTAATGGTACTCCCATATCGTTGGTAGATAAACCTGAATAGAGGTGTATGTTACACACAGTCAGTCGAGGGCACTTCTGGTGCTTGGAGGAATACTCTTGACAAAAAAAGGTTTTTCCATGCAGTATGTCGTATGAGTAATTGGGCAGACAAATCAAATGATCTACATGTAATACTCGCGGCAGTAAGCTTCTCCTATTTAGAGTTAATTTTCCAATATCTGACCTTTATTTTGCCGTTTTGACATAACTGTTATTACATTCCCAAGCAGCGACAAAGCCCAAATCAGATAAACAACTTTGATAAACATTCTTTTCCTGAGGATTCTAATTTATGAATAGACATACACAACTTATGGTCGCATCCATTAATCCTCCAGTGCTAAAAATGTATCCTTGATCTTGAGACTCGAGGAAGGTTTTTGGGAAAGACGAAAAAGTAATACGTTTATGTGGAGATATTAGCGCCAGTAAATTGTAGCAACAAAATCTAGGCCAGGATTTAGACACATAGTGCTTTTGAACCTCCTCGGCTGCCTCTATTTTGTAAACATGTTTTTGGAATCACTTCCTCGGGTAGCGTCAAAGACTTACCCTCGACCAATAGATTAGCCGGAATGGGTCTTGTTGGAAACGTTTCTGCAACAGCCCCATGAAATGGCATGTATGGTAGCCATTTGCCAACACTGAGTCAGCGATGGCCGTATGTTCATGATTATCAAGGCAACGTACTCATATTCGTATCAGCCACCCATGTCACGCCCTAATTAACGTTTTACTATTGTACAACGGTATTCTACAGCTCTAGTTTTTCCTTCAGCGCCCGTTTTGCGTTTCTAAGCTATATGCTTCATAGCTCAAAATCATTGGTTTTTCACTACTGTTAAGCTTGGGCACCAAAGTCCGTCTCTTTTTTTTTGTTAAACACTGTGAGGGAAAAAAATAAACATTGAAAATAGGATCATAAATCCGTAACACCTTAGCTTATTAGCTAAAATAAACAGCTGTAGATTGCTCAACTAAGTGAACAATTACCATTTATTATTTTTTTGGACGTATCGAAATACTGTTTTTTTACTGTGGCACATTGTTTTAACGCAAGAAAAAAACTTGCAATAAAGTTTTGGCGTAATTTCTTACGCTTGGAGCTATTTAATTCCGTTTGTCAAAAAACGAAAACTAAGGTTTTTGGTCAATCCTCTGCATCCTGATACAATAAGAGACTTTCAGTGGAATTGTGTACGCTTCACCAAATAAGAACCTATTGAAGGTTCGTAACAGAATTGGTAGGCAGAAGTCTCAAAAGCGATATTAACAACTACATTTAGATGTAGAAAATCAGCGAACTAGTTTTACCGACAACTATAGAGGCAGGTGGTCGTTATTTAAATTCCAAATTCAAGCTAATGGACGTGGGAGACCATTAGAACTAAAAATCGCTAGGATGGAATGGCGTTTCGATGGTGACACTAACGCCGATATAACTGCTGTCATTGTTGTTGTAAGAATTTTGACTTTGACGAATTTTTACTGCTTGACTTATAAAAGCGAAGCGCTCTGCTGTTGTCTGAATTTGATGAACAACGAATGATAATGATAAAACTTATGGAATGATGGCGTTGTGCTTCTCATCTGCCCAAGAGTAAACACTATGATGAAAGAAACAAGAAATAAATCAGTTTTAGGTTTTTCTCTCTAGCTGGCCAGTTTTAGGCATTTTAGATCACTTACTAGTGGCGGTCATATCAAGCCTTTGATAGCCTGCTGTCTCCGTTGGTATTATTACAAGCGATTACACAACCTAAGTAAAATCAGAGGGATAATAACCTCTAACAACATTACGTAAGAACCGTCATGTACGAGCACATCTGTAGATTAGCGATTGCCTCTTGCAGTTTCTACATAGTGCTCACGAACTTTTTTAAGAAGCGTTCTACCTTTCTGTGTAGCCTGTTCACGTAGCATATTAGCCTTATGTTGTTTCGAGGGTTTCTGAGCTAGTTGACTTTTCATCACGATAGCAAAAATCTTTCTCGCTTTACATATATGCTGAAATCAATTTCAAGCTTCAACATGATTGCTTACATTTCTAAATAGATAATGTAATGTAGGGTAGTTACTTTCAACCAGTCGGAACTTAGTCTAGACTGATCCATGCATCGTTTATTTCTTCGTTTTGCTCGATTAGCAATCGATGTGGTGTTACTTCACTGGGGTAATGGCGCTCCGTCAACTAGATGAATAGCAGTGTCGCTAACCTGCTGCTAAGATACATTATTGCTATATTATTGAAGCGTTCCAGATGCCCACCACCATCAGGCTTAGTCTGTTCTTTTTAGGCCAATAGCTCATTTCCAGTGGCGTTACGATTGTCGTCTTCCCTCTATTCGTGTGAGCGCCATCGAAGCGTGGTCGTCAAGTCTCAATTAAAGTCACGGCTCAAACGTTGTAGACATACACACTCATGAAGCACGACTTCACTAATTTCATTTTCGCACATTAATTCTAAATGACAAAAAATTCCAAATCTGCATAATCGGGCAGCGACTGTTGAATTCCTCGTGTCTTATTATCAACAGGTTTGTTATCTCTTGTGTGTTTACTGGCATAATATTAAGCCACTAACAGATAGGTAGCGGTTCTAAGATCGAAGAGTTCAAATGGGGTGTCACGTTCTTTAGCGGTTCACGGTGGCTCGCGGCTTGAATAACGTCACTTAGTTCTCTGTCTGTTCTCATTAAACTGGACATTTGTCTGGGCAGATGGGAACTGACTTTGCAATAGCTAAACGGCCAATGCGTACTTTACAGTTAAATGATACTGTATTTTGGGCATGTTTGCGGGGCGGTTCCAAAATAGCCTTTCGGAGACGCTGCTTGAATCTTGTTTGCTTTAGATTAGCGAAAGATATTCAGTTGACAAATATAATTCAATTAAGTTTTAGTCTGCCCAACTTTTGACAATGAAAACGGGTAGCAACGCTTTTACAAATATTAACCAGATTAATTGTGCTTTGTTATGGTTAAATTTCGTAAACAAGGTTGCAGGCTAAACTTCCAATCATAACTAAGCGTACAGGAGTTAGACAAAGGCATGAGCAAATTTTCTCTGCTTAATGGACAAAAGGTTGAGGGTGAGTTATTCGTGAAAGGGCTCAGCATTTAATCATATCGACCGTTAAATCTTCCGACCAAAAATTAACGACGACTAGGACGTTTCACCAATGAAAAAGGCAAACAATAAAGCACATGATCACAATAAGCTGATTAAATTAATAAAATAAATAAGTAGATAAATGCTAGCATTCTGCCATGTATTTTGAGTGTTATCTTTTCTATTTTGCTGTAGTTTCAGGTTTATAATAATCAACAGATAACCAAGCCAGTCTAACGTGGTAGTAAGCGATCGACACCGACATCGCCTACGACCACTGCAGCTGCTATCAAAATGGATCTCGTCAAGGGCATGTTGACTTCGGTTCGACAGTTCTATAATGACATCAACCCAGCTACGTTGACTGGTGCCATTGATGTTATCGTTGTCGAGAAGCCAAATGGTGACCTTGCTTCGACGCCGTTCCATGTTCGATTCGGCAAGATCAATGTGATGAATTTTGTTGGGAAGACCGTTGAGATTTATATCAATGAGAAGCCAACTGACCTACGTATGAAGCTGGGCGCCAGCGGAGAAGCATTCTTTGTTGAGGCAAGTGACGAGGAGCCGCCGGCGAAACTGGCAACTTCGCCACTGCCGGACGACTTGCTCTTAAGCGATAACGAACAACCGATTATGCGACCTATTTCGTCGCCAGGCCTAAGTCACTCGAGTCATTCGCCCCGTAAACGTTCAGACAGTTCACCTGCCATCGTAGTTAAGCGTCGGGATTCCGACAGCGAAGAAGCACACACAGATATGCCAGAAGCCAAGGATAAAAACTCAACCGAAGTAGAGGAAACTGTTGAAAGCAGGCCAAGCGGAATCAGTCCGGATGAGGATGATAGCCAAGCCAAAGACAATAACATTGTTGACCCAAAGACAACTGACGCGAGCGGCAGCTTTAACGTTACAGCGATAGACGATGAGGAGAAACCGCTTGATACCGTAAATACAGCTTTGGGAGTAATAGTTAGAGATCAGCCGGCAACAGTCGGGCTACAAAGTTTATCGCTGGGAACCGAACGGACAATTCAGAAGGTCAAGAAACGCCGAAGAAAAATAAGTAAGCAAGTGATACCTGAAAAACCAACTGCTCTAAATGAAAATAGCTCGAGTGACGCCGAAGAGACACAGTTCCATATGGACGGGGTCATTAGCAACGATGAGAGGTTATCGTTGCCAATGTCCTTGACAGCATCATCAGCAACAAGTCCAGCTGGCCCAACGGGCATAACAGCGACGACAGCTGACGATAGCTCTCCTGTACTCAGCTCGCAAGAAATGAAAACGGCGAAAACAACACAACTTAATGTATCCACCTCACCGACGCGCAACAGCGACTCCAGCAAAGGCGTGAACCGGAAGTCCGCCTTGGAGCCGGTTGAGAGCAACACTTCGAACACCACCGTTACAAGTGACGATGAATTTGTATGTTATTGTCTTTACATACACTAAGCTAACATATCTGTTCTAAAAAATTATGGCACTAATCGAATAGCAAAGGCCCATTATTAGCATAAGCTCATACATGAAAATTCCTCTGACATTAATTACATTCTCGTCATTCAAAATGTGACTTTTTTTCATGACTTAAGCTAGGTACGCTTTAATCCTCCATTTGCAGTCATATTACCAATACGTTTGTTTGGTGTTTAATATTTGTGTTTTTTGTTACGCCGTTCTGTTTTCGTATACTCCTTGGCCTTTCATTGCAGAACTGGGCATCGGTGGCCTCGGGTGTTGCTCCTGCGCGGCTCACTCCAGCGGGATCGAATTTGGCAGCTGGGACGTCACTTGCTGTCAGCGACGGAGACCTTTCTGACAACGATCGCCGTCAACGCAATCGGCCTCCATCACCTGCCAGGTCTGACACCCTGGTAGAATTAGGTCACAATAACGAGGAGATGCGTGGAGTTGAGTGGTCTTGGGGAGAGCTACCCGAAGGTGAAATACCACCACAGATTCGGGCACTTTCCCCAGCACCGGGGTCGCTTCCAGAAACGAACGGCACCAAAAATAACAGTTCTAAGATCCGAAACAGCAACGATAAGGACAACAAGAAAGATAGCGTTTCCGCAGCACCCAGCACAAGCCTACAAATGAATGACGGCTCAATTACTCCGACGTCAACTCAGCCAAAACAAGCAGATGGACTCTACCTTGACGACGTCCTTGCTCAAACAGATCCCGCTATGCGAGAACGATATATTGGCTCCAATCCACGACGTGCTACGCCACGTACGAGCGCCCGACCTACTGGACACTGGGATGGCGAATCTGGCAACGGGCCGTCGCTGTCACAATCACCGCAATCTGGACTTGATTCGGATTGTGAACCCGATCCGCGACATCCCGTTTTTGACTATGGTCTTAAAAAATATTCGGACCTAGCTATGTCACTTTGTGGGTTTGACAGAATCGACGAAGAAGGGAGTGAGTATGAAACAAAACTAGATAAGACTGTTAGGTCATCCTTGTAGTATATATATATCCAAAATAAAAAAGTACACCTCTCAGAATAGAGCCGCGAGTCTACCTGAGTTTTGAAAAAACAAGAGATTTTAAGGTAGCGGCTGCTACTACTTCCAATCTAATTTAAATAGTTAAATAATTAATCCTCAGCTGTTCTTCAGACCATTTGTTTCAAAAGCGAATGAATATTTTGTCTCCTATTCCTTTCAGTAGAGCAACGTTTCCTCGCTCACGTGATCACGTACGATGAATTCTGCTTAAACCCAGACATCCTTCACGAGCCAAATCTCGTCTTTAGAATGAATGGGAAATTTTACAACTGGAAGTGCATAGCACCTCAGATGCTGTCACTCGCAATGTTCCAAAGACCGCTCCCAGCAGTAAGTAGGCCATGGAAATGTATTATCATAACATGTTACAGTTACCAAAAGCCATAGTATCAAAGTTGCTAGACAATGAAATGTTTTTTTTGGCATTAGTAAATTTTATTATTTTTTCAAAATGAGTTAACTTGTATTTACTTTTGCAGGTAACGATGGAGAAGCTTCGAGCGGAGCATCTTGCCAAGAAGAAGGTAATTAGCCCGCCCCAGGTAAAGTCGCGCGGGTGGTGGTGGTCACGAGGGGGACCGCAGGAAGATGTGACCGACGGAGCGGTTGAAAAAGTTGAGGGCTATCCAGCCAAACAAGACATTACTACTCCCATCAAAGGAAGTAAAAGCGGTGAAAGCAAAAGACCAGTGAAAGATACTACCGAAGAAAAAACTCTATCTGATGAAGAGCTTTTGGCTAACCAGCTAATGGAAGAAGAGCTTACGAAATCTCACAACAGGAAATCGCTGCGTTTGTCATCCGATAAGCTAAAATCGTTAGGATTGAAGCCCGGCACCAACTTGGCCGAATTTAAAGTAATCACAGCATACCAAGGCACTTCAGTGTGCTCCTGTCACATCTACTTGTGGAAATCAACCGACAAAATCGTTATTTCTGACATTGACGGTACTATCACTAAATCTGATGTACTAGGCCACATACTGCCAATAATCGGCAAGGATTGGGCACAAAGTGGAGTCGCATCTCTTTTTAACAAAATCGACCGAAACGGTTATAAATTGATTTATTTGTCAGCCCGAGCTATTGGTCAGGCGCAGTGGACAAGGGGTTTTCTACGTTCACTAAAACAAGACAACCTACTCCTACCTGACGGACCCGTTTTGCTCAATCCAACATCACTTCTCAGCGCATTACATAGAGAAGTGGTGGCCAAAAGCCCTCACATATTCAAAATCAATTGTCTAAGAGACGTGAAGCAATTATTTAATGCTCCTGATGGCACACCCGGACAGCCTTTTTACGCGGGCTTCGGTAACAAGATGACAGATGCTCTGTCCTACAAGACCGTGTCAGTACCGGTTAATCGGATTTTTACCATCAATCACCGAGGCGAGGTCAGTCAGGAGTTAATGGGAAATGTCGGACGAACCTATCATTGCCTAGGGGAAATAGCCGATCTTATCTTTCCACCACTTGAACCGTCGAGAGAGAATGCGAAAGAGCAATTTTCAAGTTTTAGCTACTGGAAAGAAACCCTACCCGTTGTTGAGATCGAAGATTTATCCAAAACCTCAGCGACCACAACCGACTCTGCCCCACCTAAACCGCAATCGGACTCGTCACCACTTAAAGAGTCCAAAGTGAGTTTTTTAGAGGCAAGGTAAACCATGTCTATTCATCTATTAATTATACTTATGTATTGTTTGCCATTATAATAATATCGTCAATATAAGTATTAGAGAGAGAGAGAGAAACATATTTTGCGGTCACTAACCTTCTGATTGAAGTAAACGATGTCCAAATTATATCAAAAAATAAATGCATCATCTAATCAATGATTTTTTTTAATGTATGCGATTACAGGACCCGAAGATTTCCAAGAAACCCGGGATGTAGATATTGCTACAGGAAAAAAATTAGGCCCCACCGGTTTTCACCATCGTAGAACAACGGCGGTACGGCCTTTCATGCAAAAAAAAGAAACCAATACCCATTTAAGTGAGAAAGATAACTGTTATTATGAATTATTAATAGGTGAAAAAGAAGCGAACGTTTTAACGACCTGCACCCAAAACCGGATCTTAAAAGGCGCACCGATAACATTATTAATGGTGTGGACAAATGTCTTAATGCGGGAAAAATATGCAGCTATATCGATGAAGAGTGAGTGTTACCTGTAAGTGTCGAGGTGTAAACGTTACGAATGGCTGTTATCTGGCATGTGCTAATTTTATCGGGATGTGCCTATACAAAAAAAGAGTACGACAAAATACGACGGAACTCATGGCTAGAAGCTTTTCTGTGGGGTGACTAATGAGATTCAAGTCCAGTTGATAATAACTAAAAAAACGAGAGCGCGATTGTAGAAAACATCAAAGAACAGAATTAAACGAAGCCGAGAAAAAACAAGCCTCGATGAAAATGCATTAAAATGTACCAAATAAGTGACATCATTACAAAGCAGACAGAAGGAATTAGTGAAGAGCGAGTAATAGAGGTAGCGGTATTAGACAACATGCAAAAGCGATGGAATGGACTTCATGCGTAATAAAAGAAACAACGAAAGAAGAGGAACGAACTGAAAAATGGGATGAAGTATCACGTTAACATCGTTTACATAGTAACTACTAGTAAATATCAAATGTGGGCTAACTGTATCGATTTGTTTCTTCGCCCATCGGATAGCACGATTGCAAGCTTGCGCCAACGTATCAACCTCTAATACGTCCAAATGCACATGCAATGCGAGTACGACGTTTGCTTGGTTTCTCGGCACAAATGTAGCGAGAAAGAAAGTGTGTGAAAAAGCAGGAGTCTATATGACTGGTGTTAAGTAGTAACGATATATTTTATACGATGCCCTTCCTTTTATACATCATTGCCAGACGGTACGCAGGCAATCGCTGGGTTGTACGCATATAATGCTGTTATCCACACGACACATGAAAAAGGTTCCGGACGAAAAGTCGATGAAACAAAGTTTCGTTTAAATCTAAAAAATTGTGTCAAGGAAAACCCTGGTTAGGTAGGATGATTGCGATCATAGATAACCTTTTAGTAACGACGTAAATAATGACAGCAAGTGTGCTTCATCTGCCTTTTATTATTGCGAACCCCGAATCGTATGTCCAATGAAGATGTTGCAAAATGTACGCGGATGAATGCCGTTTTTGTGGTTGTCTAAAAAGAAATAGTTTCATTGCCCGTATATATATAAATGTTCATCAAGTAGTGTCGCCTAGAAACAGAATTATTCATCAAACTATTTAGAAAAACAACGACGACAACGGCGTTAAGTAATGATGCCAATAGATGAAATATATACATGATACACGTGATCCATATGAATCTAAGTACTTACTATATTTGATTGCTTCCTGTAGTTTACTACATTAGTTACATCTTACACATGTCTCTTACGTAGTATTCTTTCGACGTTAGCTCTGTTTTCTCATTCAATTTTCTTGGCTGCTATAGATAAATGATGATTATGATGGTGGTATATATACATATATATGAGATAAAAATATAGTCATAAAGCTGTTTATTTCTGCAGGGAGATATCCATGAACTACTGTCCACATACTATGCCCAAGCGGTGAGTGAAATTAATCACACATATAGAGGCAAAGCAAAGAATGTGTTCGTAACACGACAACTAGGCTAATGAAACGTCAGAAACTGTTTTCCAAAGCGTCATGTACATATGATACTCTATAATGGTCAAACAAGATATTGGTGGCCATTATACTGAAAGAACAAAACTCACATAAACAACAAAATAAAAAAGAAACACAGTGAAACAGACGAAACACAATATAAGAAGCATTGCGACTTTAAGCTACAAAAAACGTGTACAATGAACTAAATAAAGCTAATAATAAGGTAGAAATAAAAAATAAAAGTAATCTATCTTTGAACTGTAAATCTTCATATCAAAGTATTCATAACAGACTCCGAACATAACAGACTTAAGTCATTAGGAGTTATATCGGATCGACAAAAACAAAGTAAAACTGAGCAGCGTAAGATGAAGAGAAGCCCATTTTGTCTTTATTTTTCAAATTTACGATGGGTTGTATGGAAAACTAATCTCTATATAGAAGTAATCCCGTGATGAAGGTCTAATTACGGAAACATAGAATTATATTTATTATGTATAGATCGCCAAATCGTACTAGTTTGTAGCACTACCAACATCGCCTCATTCAGATTAACACTTATGTTATTTTATAATAGGTTTCGCATAGTATTAGGACTTATACCACCAATCCCTGGCTTACTAAGTCGAGAACTTAACCGCTCAAGCCACCGCACCTAGAAAGACAGTAGTGAGTTCTGTAAAAAGGGAAACCATATACGCAGAAACGCTATAATCAATTTGTGTAGTAGTGCAAAACTAGGAAATCGGCCAAGAAAATCCTATCGCTCATCGGAAGTTGGACGAACATTGTTTGGAAACACATTTAACGAAAAATGGGTGGCGAAATTAGCCAGTAACATACAAGGGTCATAACTCTAACAAACCATTTTTATTTGATGGGGTATACAAATAAATGGGAAGCTTCGGCGCCCTACAAACGGTAGCGTCATGACAAGTTTCATACATGTCAAATGTTGGTAAAACCACAATGCGTGGGAGATTCCTTTGTACTTATCATATTACTCAGATATAAAAGTGTCCGATTACTCTCTCTGATTGCCGGCAAATGAATTTCGAAGCAATACATTTGACGATAAATTCCTAGAATCTTTATTACTTGGTAGAGATTGAGCAAAATTCTACGTTTTTTGTTGGTTTAAAAATGGATATGATCTTCTGTCTATCTGCACACGTTATCGCTAGGATGGATAAAGAACGAATTCATATGTTCAGCTTGAAGAATGTCAACACAAAGACAAAAACGGCAGGGATTCAATTTCGATATCAAATGACTGCATTACTAGTGGGTTGAATTGCATGGTTGATGGTAAGTGCAGCATTCTAACGCGATGCATTTCGAGTTTCGCACAAATAATAGCTGATGAACATGTATTTCCCAAAAAGTCTACTCGGAGCAGAATTAGTGTCGGAATCATGTTTCTGAAACAACATGGAACGATGGATATAGCTGTACGAAGATACAACTGTTAAAAAAATGCATATCTATAATCACGCTACTGAAGTCAAGGGATTGAGAAAAAGTAGAACACGAGAAATGTCAACATGAGTCCCGTCAGCGACACAGGACTATTCTTTTTAGATTAAATATCTTTCATTCAAGTTGCATCGTTGGTTCAGGGCAGGGTAACAGAAAAATATACACCACCGTCGTATCACCGATGATTTCACCCAACGCTCTGTACTACGCAGTAGGCCAATGGGACATGCGACGAGATGCTGGATTGTACCCGCTTACCCTTGGCTGTTAATGGATTTTATTAGTACTTTATTAGTACCAAAAAGAAGGCAAAGGGCGTGCCTACGTGTGATATTGCGACTGTAAGCATCCAGTTTGTGGCAGCCGGATTTGCTATCGGATTCTATTTGCTGTTGGCACAACAAGATGCGGAAGCGCGACACAATTGGAGCGTGAGAACGAGTACCAAGGGCGACTATACTACATAAACGCAGAAACAAATGGAGGCGATGAACAGCGACAGACAATATGACGGCGTCGTTTCCATCAACATATTCGTAAGACACTACTCTCAAATACGTGTGTACCTAGAAGTGAAGCGGCTTCAGGTGGGATGTAGCTCATATTTCATACTTTGGAGTTTCTGTAAAACGTTGGAATCATTTCGTATGCTTACTGACAATCTAATAGAAACGTGTGCATTTATCTACCTCGGAAACATGAAGACTGATAATTTTTAGTTCTGTGAAGAGACGATATTGTTTAATCATACAGCGCGAAAAAATTTTTCAGCAAGACGGAAGTAATCATGTTGCAAAATCTCAACTACAGAGCACGCTGCAGCTTGCATACTAAGCTAACGATTAACTTAGAAACGATGCCTCAGCAAAAATTGATAATTATAGAAGAAACACTGCCACCAAATTCAACATTACAGAAACAAAACAAAAGTTTAGGGCCCTTATTATGCACGTTATAACATGTGTGCCTTTTATTTTTAATAGAAGAATCCCAAGATCTTGCCTCCAAGCTTCTTCCTACGGGCCTCCTCATGATCCATGACCCCGCCAGATGTAGTCATCACTACGTAGCTGAAAGAAGAATAACAAATAGCGTATTTTGAATCGATATTCTCAAAATAAAAGAGTTAAACGGTAAGAAAGAGAGAGACATTTATCCATATGAAATAGGCATCCGTGACCGAACACTGATTGGTATATAGATAAGGATAGTAACGTACCATAACTCACTACAAAAAGTAACTACGATCTGTACCCTGATTAATCATGTCAGCTTCAACGTAAGCAAACAGTATTGACCGTCAGAGCTATGAGAATTGTTTGTTTAACCCCCGAGCGAAACATTCTTTTGCAGAAAATGGCAACGAATGCATTATACGAGGGACCTTTTTACAAACTTCCGGTCACAAATTTCCGAAACGGATAGACCAAGCCGAATTATGATGGTTACATTTACTAATGTCATCTTAATAGTTTACTACCAGCCATAAACATTTCTTGCGAGACCATCAGTTTAGTACACCCTTCTTCCATTCGATTCTGAAGCACCACCAAAATCCAAGAATCTTGGTCAAAGCAGGCACTGATCGTAAACACTGCGTCAGGTTTATTGGCATCCAAGGGTATACGCCGAGTTATTTAAAAGCTACTTGTTTTTATCATGGTATTCTACACGACACGATGGTAGAACTCACCCGAACTGACGCGACGGCAGCAGCGACGACAGCCAGTTTTCGTAATCCCTGATTGGCACATCAAAGCGAGGCGAGATCACACCGCATTTATTGATCCGTCCGTTTAGGAAAACTACGATCTTTCCAGATCGATGATCATCGACGACCTCGTATTCGCCGATATAGCCTGCGTAATCAGGAGAGTTTATAGCGCAACATCGTACGAAATAGGAAGCAGAATAAAACGTCAGGTCATACTCTATAGCAACGGTCGTTAACGAAATGCTTTGGCCCATGATCAGAAACATGTGTCAACACAGAGTCGCGGCGCGAACTTGCGACTTTCTGCGACAAAAAATATGTAACATCATATAAGGCAAGCATTAAGTGTTATCGCACTTATACCATTACTCAAAATCAGACAGGCATGCCTGTGGTCTCAATGATGCATTTACTTAGGATACGGCTTTCAAGTCAATATCTTATGATTACATTTAGTACGGAATATGAACGAACAAGCAAACTTATTTTGCAGTAGTATTTCAAGGAAATAAGTTACTTTGAGTGAAACATTTGATAAAGAGGCACTAAAGCATGACAAGCAAACAATTGGAATAGTTTACCTAAGGTCTAAGGACGTCCTTTGGTTTCTCGTGAATACGACCTAATAAACTTTATAATAGACGCATATGAAAGCGCACAGTCCATGAAAGCATACATACCCTTCTTCATCATGACAGTGAGAAACTTGATGATAACGTTTGAGCAGGGCCGAATCAAGACCTGGCGCTTACCGCGTTTCTCAGCATTGTTGATGGAATTCAAGGCCGAAGCCAGTACGTTAGTGCGGACCATTTCGACAACTGAAAGATAACGCAAACACACAAACCCATAAAGGACTGCATCGACAATACGTACCCACATTACATGCCGATAGAAGAATATCACTGAGATAAAAACCGGTTGGGTCTGCCACTCTCGTAGAATTGACTCCTAAATTAGATAATATAGGCTCGACCGCTCGGATATATTCGGACGCGTAATTAAAAGTTTGCTTGTAAACAGCTTTCGACGAACTGATGTTCGAAAGTGCTACTAAACCAGAACACTTTGTGGGATACAGATGTGACTGACAATGTAAAGGTTATAAAACGTTTTTGTAATGACACTACATGCGATATGATTTCGCACGAATAGTTAACTATAATCAATACATGTCACGGCCAATTGCATCGGCCGGTACGATTTGGCACAGATCGACAGGAAAATTAGACCTCGTCAAAATTTTTTGATACATGATAACTTTTCGCCCAAAAGGATTAGTTTCTTTGTTCTAAGGAATCACGTGGTTGTTGGTTACACAGGCTTGCAAACGAAGGTTCGTGAAGTAGCACAAATCACGCTCGATTCCGTTCGACACAGCCTTAACAAAATCTCACTGATATCTAACACGGTCGCACGTCTAAAACCCAGCACAAAACTTTGAAAAACTATGCTAATTTTCCTCTAAACTTTACCTTGTGTTAGCCACGGCCTACGGCAAGCGAAAAAAGAATCAACGCATTTAAAATGGCGCCGAATTCAGCATTGCTCCGCGGGCGATTTGCACCGGTAGAGACCGCCATGTTTTAAATATGTATACTAAACATAAAAATGTAGAATGCACAATACTAGGCTTGGGTTTGCGGTATCAGGATTCACAACCTTTACGTTGTGTTGTTTGCCATTATTTGAAGACACATATATAGACTGAAGAATCAAATAAGGCTTTGCAGATGCGTTCGTGCAAATTCTACAATGACGTTATGGGATCTAGCACGGGCTTAGCAGCAAATGGAGTAATTGGATAGGCAACTTTGGAAAAGGATATTTCTTAAAAAGCTTTAGCTATTAATTGTTTTTTATTGGACATGCTAATCGTATTGCAAACAGCATCAAACTTCGCTTCTAATTAGGTACTTTTAGGAATCACCTTGCTAAAGTACTAAATAAGATAATTTTACTTAAGTCGCGCACTTAGGCCATAAAAGTTGTCCGCTAGCTAATTTACTTTAAAATCATGTTCGGTTTTAATTATCATCCCAAGAATATGTATACTGATTGTATATATCTATGTGGCGCTAAAAGTTCGTCGCCATTTGTCTGTTTGTTCGACGAAACGACAAATTTCTGTCGCATGTAAATTAAATGATATAAAACTGTCTTAACCTAAAGAATAGTACATGAACTACACACTATCAGCAAAGGTTTCTTTAAAAAAATAGATAGTGCATTTGTCCACTTCAAATAAATGAGTGTAGTTGGTGTCACTCGAGGGTGGTGCTTTCTTGAAAAAACCTACAATACAAAACATTGAATACCGCTTACAAACTTTCAATTGTCCATAATTTTGTTTTCGTTTAAGATTTGAAAGCCGTACTACAAAGGGTTCATTTTTACATCGAGTACCTCACAAGAGCCACAGAATATATAGAAAATTTAGGACAGGCGTGTATCATGATTGATCTTGATTGATTGCCATCAAGCGTGGTTGCGTACATGTTAAGTTCCATGCGCGACACCTGCGTGTCGAACGACTTCATCTACACCTGCAGAAGCAACACATTTTTTCAGAAAGATGCATCTACTTAGCTAATTCGGAACAACAAAAAACCAACATGGTTAACGGCAATTATAGCTGTTTGCAACTAGAACAGATTCGCGACAACTTCTTCGCACATCGATGCGTCCGCATCTTCTAGAACCAATTACATATAAAAAAAGAAAAAGTTTTAAAAGTACAATTTACTTATAAGAAAAAATATACCGTTACATATCTACAAAGCAAATCCACATTAGGAAAAATGTACTCATACTTATTCTTTGACTCGCTAAAGATGCATGGAGGATTTCTTCGTTTTTAAAAGGCTCGCATGTTCAAAGGACTACTTCTTGGAGATGACCATTGGTAGAAGGCTATTTAGGATGCTGAGTGACCACAGATGCCTCAAACAGAATAATATCTATTCGTTATTATGTTAAGGACAGGAAAAGTTGTCAATCCTTTAAGTAATTTTTTTAAGTATGAGAATGTTCAAGATGACCGATAAAGAAGGCTCTACGATGATGCTTTTGATTATCTAAACAAAGCCAGCTGCACAGTAATTCTTGTGACCAATTTAAGCCTAATCGCGGTAAGAGGACATGGAAAAGTGGCCACTGCAATGGCAGCATCAGGTATCGCCGTAACTTCGATACCTGAGGGCCATATTGTGTACTCCCGGTTCAGGTTTCTTATTTTCGTCAAGAAAAATGCAGTATCTAACGCGAGAAAAAAGTAAAAACTATAAATCTACTTCGTATGCCAGCACTTGCTGTGTAGAACGAATGCCCCGTGGTTAGCCGAGAAGCCTTGGAATCTGTTGAAGCTCCGTGATGTATGTAAAGCTAAACCGTATATGTAAGCGTACGATGACAGTATGAGGAGCCAGCTCTCTGAGGTAAAGCCGAACGACTCACCAGGCGTGAAATAAAAAAGTATAATATGATGTAAAAATTACAGTTTTATTTCTTCCTATTAATAATAGTAAAATCTTTTTTGATAACGCGAATTTCTCTTTGTTAACTTAATCAATTATGGGTTGGATCTCCCATAATATTGTTTTCGGAGTTCGAACTATAATTCCCGTAACGGACCCAGTTATAGTAAACAATAGTTGAATCAGCGGGAATGTTGGTCTGTTGCATCCACTCAAGAGACGTAGATTCAATCATTAGAAAAGGAATGTTTGGTGCGCAGTCTATTAAAATATGTGGATGGTCTACAGGGTAATACAATCTCAGCTGCAATGAGACTCATTGGAAAATATTGTGCGCTAGTATTAACAGTCTTAACTTTAAAGCCTAAAGAGCACTTTTCAGTCGGAATTGACCCATGTCCGAAAGACATAATTGTTTACCTTTAGTTTTCGATAGTGTTGCTTACGTTCATGTTTGTACCTCGTGTATCACTTAATGGTAGGATAGTACGCCTGGTGGCCTGAGGATTACTTAAAGATTTTCCCTGCGGTCATAATAGAGTCGTTTACAGATTCATTCACCTGAGTGAGACCCTCTCCCAACGATTCCGAACATTACTTGCTCTATATCGCACTTCAATGACCAGTAAAAGATCAGTAACACCAATCAGACACATAGAGAGTTCCTTCCGTCGCTTAACAAACTGGAGAATTCGAATTCGATCACGAAAATTCTGATGGCAGCAGGCTAGTCAAGATCGATATTTTTCAGCATCGGAGTTTGTTGTTGCTGAGTAAAGACGTTGTAAAAATTGGAACGCCACTAATAAGTGGACCAAAATTGTGAGTTCATTATCGCCGAAGGTGTCCGGAGTGACCAGGTATGACTGAAGGGATTGCCAAAATCAAAAAAAAAGCGAATATCATCATTGCGGTCCTACCTTATGCGATCTTGTCGTTGCTAAAAGGTGTTTGCTTTTGTAGAGGAACTGGCTACTTCACTGAGGTACTATGGCGTCAGAATGATATGCACCGCGCGAAATCGCGCCCTATCAATGCAGGAGCTATAAAATTAGTGCTTCAGTGCAGTTCCATAAGTTGAGATCGAAATGCATGAATGTCAACTAAGGAAAAAGCTGATAGTTATGGGATTTTGTAATATTCCATGTAACAGAAGCTTATATGACAGCGCGCCAGGCAAAAAAGCAAACGGGTAATTAGAGGAAAAAATTCGAGTGCTTTATGCTGTCCCAATATGCCACGTATATCGATCTATAAAGGCTAAGAAATTTGGCAGTAAGATGACCGTGTCAATGATTCAACTTCTACTTTCCTCATTCAAGTGATAATTCGCTACACACGTGTTGTAGTTTATTGACAGTTATTGCGTCTTCTAGCTGATTTAGTTCCAATTCGGTAACATCAAATTTTACCCAATGTATATGCCAATAAAGTATTAGCTCCAAGAATGAGATAAACCCTGATCCATCCAAGAGATATTTCTCGTTTATTTACTGTGAATGCTGGCTAATTTACCACGGATCTTATTTGGTGACGAAGTAGAGAAAAAAAATATTTGTACGTTTTGTCCGTTGCAAATTGCGTGTGATGTTGTACAGGGCGTAATCGTGCACACGAAGTATGATTTTACATTTAAAGACTGCAAAACAGTTTACAGGTTATTTATGGGCAGATCCATAGCATGAAAATTTTGGTGCATTCAATTCATTACGTATGAATGCTTGTATTCGAATAGGCGCACAATAATCTTCGCCTCGATCATAGTTCGGTTACCTCATTGAAAGGAGACAATTTGCTATATTGTAGTTTCCGCATATTAATGTCAGCTCAATATAAATTGCCTTTATTAAAGTTAAAAACCGTTTAGATTAGTAAGGTCACGAGCCCGACGAGATAGCTGTCATGGGATGCAAGGCAGGCAGACATTGCTTATATCGCCATAGCAATTTCATGCAACTGAATGGTGTCTAGTAGAATCACTGCGGAGTAGATTATTCTATTGTAGAATGAAGGAGTCTATACTATCATTTGCTAACTTCTACTCCCTATAAGTGCCCTTACGTTTGGAGGTGACGTATGATATATACTACAGCTGTCAACTTCTGTTCTAAGTTTGTGGGTGTTTTGAAGCAAGTTCAGTACAGGATTGTGCTTAAAGCACCAGTCGTTTTCAGAGCTTTCAACCACTGCTTAGATAAGAATTGTCCCCCCCCCCCCGGATCAAGTTTGGATAGTTAATTTTAATCGTTGCTCACAACCATTAAGAAGACAGGAAAACAGTTCTTGCCGAAATTATCTTTGTTGCCATTCGGATAGCCAAACTTTTGTGCGTCCAATTAATAGAAAAATCCGCGTGAATCATGAGTTCCTTTTGTTGCACCAACATAATGTAATACTCTGAGGTCGCAGTGCGTTAGTAAAATCGTTCCTCTTTTTTACAAGCGAAATATTCAGGAGTGACAGCCATGAGTTGTTTACTATCAATTGAAAGGCGACATAAGCAAGACGCACTTGTATGGTAACGGAGGTTGAACATCGACTGTAGACTGTTTTGGCTTCCATAATAAAAAAAAATCTTCAAAACATTAGTCGAATGTACATTTTTGACTCCATGCTTCCTTGTCAATTGTCTCTGTACAACTTTTCTAAGCATTCTGCCTCCTTGATGTCAATTTGTTATTGGAAAGAGCATCCAGCGCGAACGCGCCAACTGAACGCAAATCTGTTTCGCTTACTAAACTTTAGTTACTCTCAGACTTACTTGAACAGCATGTGCTAGGCCATGTAAAGGCGCTGTATTTCGAACTACCGCATTCATACCCATGATTACACTTATTTTGAAAATGGTTTAACAGAAAGCAGGTATTTCACAGTTTCACCATATATGGGAGTCTATCTTGCTAGCTAGTTATTAACAAATATCGTATATCTTCATAAGTTAACAATATGAACTTTTATACAAGTTACGTCGAGTTTTCAAAGTAAATAGTAACTTTTTTACGGTGCTTGTTTTGCTTTGTTGTGATTAAATTTCCAGTGGTATCTCTATCTTTGCGCGGTTCTTGTCAACGATAATAACGAAGCGCAAAAGGTATTCAATGTGTTTAGGATGCCTTGGCGGTTTTCAAAACTACTCTAAAAAAAACTAGAAAACTCTTCCATATTGTTCCACATGTCTCAGCTCTCCAAAGTGTGCTCCCTATACGTGAACTAAATGATTTGGGTCCGCCTTAATATACTTCATATTGATTAGCTCATACGAAGTCTAATAGTCGAGCGATCACCTATCACATGAACGTCCATTTAGGCCGGAGATCTGTCCTCGAATCTTCGAAAATAAGAACGAATAGACCCATATTGAAGAAGCTCACTGCGAGAGTGGGGTGGGGGGAGGGGGCGGGTGTGAGATGTAATTCAAGGATCGAGGTTACCAGCAAGGAAGCTTGAAAAAATTGGTCGCATTAATCAACAAAATGATCTAAGAAAAGATGGTTCATGTCCTGTGTGCAATACTTGGTTCAGATAAACAGCTTCTATTTTTACCACGAACATTTTTAGACACCAGGCGACTACTTTCCTTTTGATTAACGAGTAGGCGGGCAAGAAAATCTTATGCATGTTCCATATTTCCATTGAAATTTGCTGCAGAGTAAGGACTCATTCACGGGTGCTTGCTCGTCTATTTTTAAAGAACTCAACGTCTTTAAGCACAAATATTCTAAACCGTGTCACGAAAATTACCTAATTCTGTAGACCGTTCGTACATCGAAGTACAACAGAAACAACCAATTGTTGATTTTGTTATTTCATACACGTACTCAGCATGGCGGGAAAACGAACGCAGTCCCCACAGCCACCACTTAGGCAGTGGCTCATGGCTTGCGGAGGCACTGTAGAGGGTGAACTGGGTCTTGGAGGTACCGAAGATCACATCGTAAGAGGTTAGTGTGTATTACCAGGTAGACGTGTTTTCAATTTTACTTCACCGTAAAGCAGGCTTGATTTGTTACCAACCAATTTGACTGCATTCTTTACGCAGGTCTATTCAGATGTAACATTGCTACGAACAGTTGTTCATATAAAAGGAGAATACGTTTACGATAACCGAATTATTATCTAATCCTTTGTGCCAATTAGTTTTATTTTACCATCGTCTTATATGCTCTAACCTTATTTTTTTTTCATAACAATAAGCGACTTTTCTGTGTTCTAAAGCACAAAGATAATGGAGCGCACTATGGGCCGACTCATAGCAATTTAACGCATACGCGGTCTCTACCTATAAAAATTAATTTTCCGATTAATAGTTGATATTTTAATTACAGTTCTACGGAGCATTCCTTCGATGGAACGAATCCGTATCGAGCAGGTTGCATCGGGACGAAATCACACTCTTATTCTGAGCGAAAGTGGGCAAGTGTATTCTTGTGGCAGCAACAGTCATGGCCAATTAGGCCGCCCAGAAGTCGGCGTCCGAAAGCCTGGTTAGTATTTAAGTCTTCTGGCTATAGGTGTATTGACTGTATTTTGCAGATTATGCATGGCTTCTCTGGTTAATTAAAAGGGCATTAAATATACCCTTATCTTTAATTGCAAATAGAAAAGTAATTTTCCTTTCCGTCCAATACAGATGGTTCTCTAACGTAACAAGGTTATGTTAATGCTATAGTTCGCAGTCAGAGTATGGCTGCTAGATCAGTGTATATATACCTTTTTCATGTTGTTCGTGCCTTCGCTTTTCTCTATTGACGTTTGCTTTAAAGAAATCATAACGACTCTCTATCAACACAAAATTGTACAAGTGGCATGCGGAGAACAACATTCGATGGCGCTTTCTGAAGCTGGCCAGGTGTTTGTATGGGGAGCGAATAATAATGGTCAGTTAGGAGATCCAGAGGCGAAAGACGCGGAAAATCGGGGGCATCCCAGGTAAGCCTCATAGATTGTTGATTCTAACAAATACAGTATACGTAAATATATCCTCAGGGGTCCAAGGCCCTGAGGCAAGCTCCCTTTTTGGAGACTCGATCAAAGGATTAGCCCGACTATGCGGGGATTTTCGGAAAACAGCGCAAGAAGGCCGTTTTTGAATTTATTGTAGGATATAGTTTTGTCTTTCTAATGATATGTAACTCTCAAGAACTCGCAAATACTTTACAGAATTGTGAAGAAGCTAGGATCGTCAGCAGTTCAGATTGCTTCGGGTAGCAATCACTGTCTGGCTTTAGCTAACAACGGAACAGTCTTCGCCTGGGGTTCAAATCAATGCGGGCAATTGGGCCTTGGTACAGCTGGAAACTACGTGAGCACACCTCAGGATGTCCTAAGCCTTCAGGGTAAAATCTGTTATTAAATGCATGACAATTAGAAGCTGTAGTCTTCGTGTTCATGTTAGAGAGTCTTAAATAGTAGCACATAACGATATGGATAAAGTAGGGATACCTTGGCACCAAATACACACTATTCGAAACATTAGTTCATTCAATTGGCTACCACAAATCCATGCGTTGCGAAAAAAAGTTAATTCAATACGGTAATTACAAATCTAGCAGTCTAAATGAGCGACGATATCAAGTGTTGCTTGTTGTTTGTTATTCCTAGGAGTTCCTCTCAGTCAAATTGTTTGTGGAGGACAGCATTCCATGGTTTTAAGCAAATCTGGGACTCTTCTTGTGTGGGGTTCGAATCGACATGGACAACTAGGATTGGGTGATACTGTAGACCGGTAAGCATTATCGAATTGTTAGAATTTGGATTACTATAGTGCAATCATCAGCTTTATAGAAATGGCAACATGCTAAAACTTAATGATTAATTAGTCGACGTACTTAATAACTTAGTAATGCAACAACAAGGGCCTTCAATCGTATTATGGCCAAGAGATAATGCAATATGGTTTCATTGCAGAGCGTCACCAGCAGTGGTCAAACCACTTCGTCAACACGGTCTTAAATACATTTCTGCGGGCGAGGAGCACAGCGCAGTGCTAACAGCTGACGGAGGCGTATTTACCTTCGGTTGGTATTTTTTTTTTCGTACATTGAATCGGAAATAGCAAAAAGTTCAATAATAAACATCATTTTGCTTTTATTATACAAATCAGACAATTGAATTTTTGGCTCGAACGCTGCCAGCCAAAAAATCTTTGGGGGCAACTGGGGATAGTTAGTTACTTTTTGTATTGAAATCGAATCAGTATACTAGAAAATAGAGTTGAAAAAGGATACATTTTACATCTCGTTAATCACTCTGTTCGAAGTAAGATCGAGTCAACCTGTGTAACCGAGTTAAAATTTCAGTAGATTCAGGTCCGTGTGTCTAATATGAAAGAGTAAATTATGAGCAGAGACCTGTAAGTAATTTTGTAGAACTTGCATCTTGAAAAATAGGAATTGGGGTTATGTGATTACTGCATAGAAATAAAAACCCAATGAAACACATGTTGTAGCGTTTTTGGCGTTTCGTATGTTAGCAAGAGTCGGCTTTTCGTGAATCGCACTATTTGTATGTGCAATTAAAACCGCCTTCATAGTTACGGACAGCATGGGCGTATTACATAGATGTTGGTATGGGCCGCTTCTTACAGGTAGCGGGACGTATGGCCAGCTTGGCCATGGCTGCAAAGCCGATCAGCCAACTCCACGCAAGATTATGGACCTTATGGGGACAATTGTCACACAGATCGCTACTGGAAGGTGTGTCTCCCATAATTAACTCGCTAAGTAGTGCTAACATACGACCATTTGCACGAGCGAGTCGTGTGAATTTTAATATTAACAGCAAAAAACCAATGTGTAAGGCTTGAAATTTATACCGACGAAATCGGTAGTAAATTGATTTATATGAATGTCAGGTAGTGATTAATGTGTTGATACGTTTTATTTGAAATAAAATAGTAGCGATTCTAATAATGAAGCTAATACACCCTTTTTTTTGCAATTGAAAATGTGTATAAACACTTTAGATGTTTCTAAATGTTACCAGGCTGCATTGTCTGTTTATTGACACCATATGCACTGATACTTTTCCTGATTGTCTGAAAAGTTTAACAAATCACCAAGTGACGGTTATTGCTTGACAGTGATCCGCAGCTCGACGGTTAGTATACAGTAAATATGAGTCCTCTGTTACGTTCATTGCTATTCATCTATGATATGTTTTGTCTCTGTGCTAGTTAACCAATTTCGTGTCGACGGGTCGTCCTTTTAGGTGTCATACGATTTGCTACGCACCTGGTCCAGGTCGAATTTATACATTTGGCTTGGGGGGAAGTGGACAGCTAGGTATTCCTGCGTTGCCCTCCAGTGTTGCTACTCCAACACAACTACCTGGAAAATGGATACAGGTCAGTAACGTAAAGTATGCTTATCTTCATTTAAAACCTGTATGATCAGTATGCTTGCATGTACTGTGCGATAATTTAGAAAGTGGTCTTGAATCAAGTAGCACTCAGAGAGTTATTGATCAGTTACTAGATGTAGTACATCTTTTTTCGATGTTTAGGCTCTCGAGGTGAAACTGATTAGGCCAACTGATCCTACTCGACGCAACTCTAACGAAGTAGGCGCCGACTGGTCGCAGTGCCTTAACGACGAGTTTCAAGAGGCGAATAAATCCATGGTTGCGAGTCCTATCGACGCGGCGGGTAGCAGCGAAAGATCGTGGAACGAACGAATAAACGTGGAGGTACCTAAGGCAAAAGCTGCACGAAAGCGTGGTAGTCAGAGTGATGAGCGACCAGATGCAGGTAACACGGGCCAGGTGAGGCCGGGGTCAGGGCAACGAGAGCCAGGGGCAAAGGTCAAGAAAGCGAAAACAAAAGCAAGTGAGGTACCACCCCCCAGTCTTGCTATTACCGTCTGTTGAAGCAGGTTTTTTGTGTTCTTATGCCTTCAGCATTACTTCCAAGTGGAAATGTCACACCTATCAAAGCATCAGTTAAACAACTTCAGTGATCCACGGTGCTCCACTGAATAGGCTTTATTAGTTCTGCTATCATTCGTGGGTCTAGTACATCCTACACTAACTAGTGAGATGCGAGTACGTCCAAATAAAATTGAGTTTGGCTGAATGATAAATCTCAAAAACTCTTCTTAGAGATTATCCTAGAGGGCTGCGCATTTTCGTTATTTGACGAGCCGGACTCTTAAACACTCAAGGATAGTACATAGAATAGTGCACAGTAAAAATAAGGCGTTGAGATGGCAATATAAATATTAACTTGGATTATCTTTGTTTTGGGGATGGTAGGTCGATCAAATAGGTGAGCGTCTTGCACTGTTGCCTGAAAAAGATCCGGCAGAAATTCTTAAGACTGAAATGCTTGTTTTTGCCATATTTGCTGGCGGGGATCGCACATTCATCATTTCACATGAACCAAGGGTAAGTTTGCTTCGTACCGTACTTAGCGCTTTCTGATGCAGGTCTAGTTAATTGCGTATTATTGATTCTGTTTTACTTCGACACTGTGAGATTAGATTTCATCTGCGATGTATTAGGTGTAGCAATAAAGTACATATTACCCGTATACATTGGTAACGTAATAGATATGCAGTTATTGAATTATAAGTATAAAAATTATGTATAAACGTACGAGCTTAACTTAATGCGTTCACAAGTTAATTAAAATTAATGTGTACTAGAACGTACGATGTCACATGGTAGCTGATTTATATGGATCACATCTTATGCAGACGCACATAGCTTCTGGCAAATGAAATTCTTGTATACCGCATAAGGCGTGATAAAGCCCATATTGCAAAACGCGCAACTATGTGTCGTCTAGCTTTGTTCGTTTCTCTAGGCTTCATTGGTCTTTATCAATAATTGTCTCCTCCGGTGTTGATAGACTAAATGAACAAGGGTGGTAGGAAGATACAAATCTAATCCTAGACCCTCTACAGATAGCAGTATGTTACCTAAAAAAATATACGTTAGTTCAACGATGAACGATGCGGTGTGATGGCGTATCTTGAGAACTCAGGTTTAATTCGGTTTAGTGTTTTGAGTTGCGCCGATTATGTTCCCACATTACATGTATTTTGTGAAGAACTACCGAGACTACGTTAATTTTGAATAAAGCCAGCTGTTTATAAGGAACATCTAAAGGGAGCTTATATGCGCACACTTGCCACCATATATCTTCGTACTCCATTTTTAGTGTGTTCGGCAAAGGCTCGACCCTTCGTAGATAAAATCACATTTGTGTATTCCAAGCTGGTGTTGTGTATTCCCAAGGCTTTTTCGGCGTCTGAAGTGGTGTCTACGACTAAGCTGTCTATACTGATTATCACTCCAGCGCCATCCACGTACAGACAAAGCCTTCGGAGAACTTGCGGGATCTCAAGCCAAACATAACAGCAATGTAGGACAGATAGGACCAAATCATTCAACAGCAGAGAGAAAAGTAGTGGATTATTTTGTTTTTTTAAATTTTTTTCCCTTTTTTTTTCACTTTTATCACCCAATGCTACACCAGTTGATTGGACATGCCGTCTATACTAATTCAGTTTTCTTGTAGAAGTGCCCTGATAAGATGCAGAGTATCTATCTATGTATTATACAAGTTGTACGTAAAGCGCGTATCCCGGCGTCATATCAAATGTTAATTAAAAATCCCCGAACAAGGCATAAAGCGCTTCTTTTGGTCTACACCACATAGGGTGTACATCGTAAAATAATATGTCGCATGCCGCAAGGGTGGAGCATCCTACTGTTCAGTTGGAATACATAACAAGTTTCCAGGGACCTGGTCAGACGCCGTGTGATCAGTTGGACAAGAAATTTGCAGCAACAGCTTTTTTCACGCGATCGCTCTCCGTATTTCATATACATCTAGAATCCTGTGGATCTGATAAATTGTGATAGTTATATCACCATTGTCCGTGAAACCTTGCAGTCAAAATGTTTAGGAACTTAATTATTGCTTTGTTACATGTTAGGCAAATTTTCAATTGATCGTACTGTTCTGCAAGCGCCTAAAATTTCCAATGTAAGATGTTTGGTCTAAATCTGTAGAAGCAATCAGTCCTCAATAAAAGCTGTACTTGTTTGGCTTCAGAAATATGGTGTGCATGCTTCGGCCGACTACCGCGTTCGCCCTAAGCGCAGTCAGATTCGAACCATAAATGTGGACATATTGGAAACAATGCCACACCTCAAACGAGACGAATCTGTTCCTCAGGTAATCATATTATTCCATGCATCTGTACAAAAGTCGAAAAAGTTGATAACGAGCTAATTACACTTCTGCTTTTAGTTAACTAAAATTATTAAAAAAATAAAGAAATTAGCTGAAACATAATTTTTCAAAATATCTTACTTTTATCGTAATCAATCAAATTATTTTATACGTGCTTACGTGAAATATGATATGAATGACGATAATGACCGGCGTAACATAGAACGAAAGAAATTAATTGACGATGCAAATAATTTTCATCATCTTTCCTAGGCCACTATGGACAATCTGGAAGGGGTGCTCAGTTCGCTGGCCTGCATGAACGGCTCATTTTTGACAGACCAAGATCGCCATTACGATTGTAGCGGATATAACCATGGGGTGGATACTGAGCTAGCCCTTCGTGCCATGAAATGCCTAGAAGATACGAAAAATTCTAGTTTAAAGGAGATGATTCGTAAGTGCTTTCACTTCGCACAATCACTGGTAATCTTGGGCTATCATATAATCAATTTGCCATTGGTACAGTAAAAATATTATAAATACAAAAAAAAAATTTTTTTCTGTGAAAGAAGTTTTTGTCTTCTGATTATCAGTGCTTGTTTTGTAACCGCCAAAAAAAAATAAGCCGTGATTTGTGAATATACACTGAATTGAACGTGTTCGTATAAGTCATGGCTTCGTATTTCATGTGCTTTTTTAATTTTTTTGTTTGATTTCAGGATCTGAGTTTGAACGACTGGTGGCGTCTGTTTATGCGATGTCACAGCGTCCAGTGGATATCGAGGCCATGCGAATATATGTCCTCATACCAATGAGCTTTCTCTTTCAAAAAGTTCCCGATTTTCTCGAAACTATTACGAACCCCTTTCAGCGAGCTTTGTTAAGGTATCAAAACAGATTTCTTGTTTTTTTCTTTTGCAACGGACAGTGTGCATTTACAACCAATTTACAAAGGCGGCCTGTGCACAGCTGTTGTATACAGCGTCACTTAGTTTCACGTATGTGGTACGGTATGGATATTAGTAGATTGGTTTTGTACGATGGTATACAACAGATAAGCTACATTTATTTTACGATATATACTTGTGTACAGTTTCTTAATCAGTTACTGTTAACAAAACTCTTGTTATTGTTTCAGGTTGAAGTCGACGGCATCGAAAATCGTTTCCGCATGGTATTCCCAATATAATGAACACGTTTTTGGCGATTTCGTCAGATGTCTCAAAAATGTTATTGACCACGTCCTTATGTATAACAGAAGCGTAAGCTAATTCAGTATTTTATCAAATAGCTTGGGGCGTTTCTATATTTAATTGAAATGGTTCTTAGCCTCCATTTATCCTTCAAATCCCCACACATAAGTCATTAGTCACATGTATTTTACACGTTGAATTATTTTGAAAGGTGTCAGCGGATTTGAAATATTACAATATATTTCTTAAATTTGGCAATTTATTCACAATTCTTGCTTTTTATTTAAGGACACTATTTCGATGGAGCTAGCTTTGAAGACTCTTAAACAGCTCAACTCCATCAACCGCTCGAAATTAATCGTGCCCTTCGAGGAATTCTACATCGAGATTTTAAGTCAGCACATTTCAATCGAAAAGGTTAGGTTACATTCACAAAAGATTGATGAAAATAATGCGATCTTAACGAGACGGATCAACAACTAATATCGAGTTATGCGTTCTTCTTGTGTATGATACAGGACTATATGGAGTGGCAGATGTCCAGCCCGGAGCTGAGAGCACGGCAGCTCTTCTTCTGCGACTACCCTTTCGTGTTTGATGCTCAAGCCAAAACAACGATACTCACGGCAAGTTGTCATAATTTTTCTTTATTGCTTGGTTTATCGTAGATAAAAAAAGATCTTTGTTGACAGAAGTTTGATTCCGGAGAGAATTTATTCCAATGTAGTCTTATTTATATTGCAGGTCATAGGAAAATTTGTCTTACACTTGGGGTATTTTATGCTGTTTTAAGTTTATATTGTGGGTTTTTGTGGCCAGTTTTTAACTGAACATTTAATGAGTTCGGAACTAAAATAATATTTGTAGTCATATGTGCAAAGAGTTAGGTTCTTTCTTCTACCCAAGCTTCTAAATAGGTATTTTTCTAACTACAAAAAAGCTAGCGTTTATACGCCAAAATTACAGGTGGATGCAGCAATTCAGAAGCACACAGCTATTCAGCAGTCGATGAATCAGAGTCTAAACCCATTTGCCGTAGTTTTCCGTCAGCAGCAAGTCAACCCTTTCCTTATTCTTAAGGTAGGTTAAGTAAACAAACTAATAAATAATAATATATGTATATCTACCGAAAGGTATGATCAATTTAGTTGTTTCAGAAACTTTTTTGAAAGAACATAAACAGTAAAGACTCGTTAGATCTTAGAGTTAGCCAAAAATATCTATAATCAGACAGTAATTATGATTCCAAGTTCATCGCCTGAAATTTACGTAATGCAATCCAATCCAATGTAGAAGTCCGCGCGTCTCAGGCCAAATTAGGACCCTTTAGGAGTCTTAAACAGTTGAATCACTTAAGAGTCAGCAAACGATTCTGTCAAATAAAATTGTCATAACGTAGCATAGTTTTTCAAGTTATTTCAATAGCTTATCGATTATTCTGATTCTTCGTATGAACAGGTTGACAGGGATCGTCTGATCGAGGACTCACTTCGACAGCTTTCAATGAAAGACTGTGCCGATCTCCGAAAACCCCTGAAGGTAAGTAGTTCGAAGGGATGTAGTAATGTATAATATTATGGGGCGGTAATGTGAACATCCTTAGGAAAGACGTCATAATGAAGCTCATTCAGCAATTGTAGCTTCAATCATCCAGGTTTTTAATTAGCATGAACATTATAGTACTTTGCCTTTGAACACTAATAATTTTTAATGTGGTTCTGACTGAACGAGGTGATCTTTGATCGTGAGGATGCTGTGGATGAAGGCGGTGTACGCAAGGAATTTTTCATGTTGCTTATCGAAAAAATTCTGAGTCCAGATTTTGGAATATTCAAGGTCTACAGTGAATCCAACTATATGTGGTTCAACCCGTCGTTTTTCAAGTGAGTATTTGATACGTTGTTTTAATTGATATGATAGCGAAGTGCCAACCTACTCAACATAGGTTTTTTTCACTTATTGGGTGAAATTAAACTTTGGCAGGTAAGCTTTGTATTAATTTACATGTGTTGTGCACTATATGATGGTGGGGCTTAAATCAGCTGGAGGGTCTATCAACAAGGCCACAACGCCACACGTACAGCAATGTAGGTATTATGATTCAATATTTTCAATTTTGATATTTCATTTGCTGTAAAATCTAAATAAAGCTTTGGGTAGAATAAAGATTGAACATTTGTATTCAGCATTACATCGCGCTGTGAAAGCTTTTTTGTTGCGTATTTATTACCAGCGAAGACAAACAGACGATTTTCTTGATCGGGATCTTGTGCGGACTAGCCATCTATAACCAGACGATCATACCACTTCCGTTCCCGTTGGCGCTGTACAAGAAACTTCTCAAGGAGCCGGTCACATTTCGGGATCTTGAAATACTCAGTCCGCAAGTGGCTAAGTACGTATTCATACTGGTCAACATAAACAAGATGTTTCAGTAGTCAGCTAAGTATAACTAAATGACGAGCATTTCTTCTTGACTCTCAAAGAGAGAATCAAATGCTCTGCGATCACTTTAGTATGCTGTATGTAGAAATCCATTGAGTATGCTACTACATAGGTCACCTGCTAATCGGTTTATTCAGTCGTACCGTTTCTCTCATGTACTCGAATTTAGTTTGTACAGAGGTTTCCTCGCAGTAATTCTATATTGTACAATTTCCAAAACTTTTAGTTTTTATACACATTCTTAGGTTTCGTATACCAGCCACGCTCGATATTGCTATGGCAGAAATTCATTACGGCGTACCTTTCGGTGGTAAACTAGAAACCAAAAGACCGTTTTGGTCTTTTCGCCAGATTACTGAGGACAGCAGGTTGATTTTGTTTGGCGTACTAGTGACTTGTATGGCTTTAATACATACGTTTAGGAAATGATGTAAAGCGTATATATCAACAGTTTAAGAATCGTATACTATTTTCAGTAAAACCCAACCACTTCGTTAAAGATTAATTTATCGAGCTAACATGTTTGAAGCCCACTGTGACAATACGAAGAAGTGCAAACAGCTCGTATAAAGAACTTGAATAAGTTCTCTATTTAAATTTTAGGGAGGTGTATCTATCTTGCAGGGAGCAGAAGGAATTACCTTGAGTAAAAGTTTTAGTAAAGTTCGCCGGTGCTGTCGAACATGCTGTATAAGAACTGAGGGCGACACTTCAACATCGTCATCGTTGTTTGGATTGGGCTTATCACATTATCACCATTGGTGGTGTTTGCGTGCGCTCTATTCCTTACACTCTCTATGTAGGACATATAAGCGAAAACGCTTTTTCAGCTTTTTCCTCGCTAGAAGGCCTAAAGCTCGCGTCTGATTTTACCATAGCAATCTTCCTGCTATTACGTGATTTATAAGCAAACCCTTACCAAAATGGCTTGCTGACTTTGTACTTTTTCAAGTAGTGTTTGAAAGTTTTCAAGTTCATTTCTAAGTGGACAGGCATGATACTGAGTAGATGCTGTAGCCTTTGCCGCCTACAGTTGCTAATGTTTTTCGACTCGCTTTTTCACGACGTTGTGCGCATGTGCCCGAAACCAACGGAAAGGGCGATTCGCAAGTGAAGACGTTTCAAAAAAACGCAAAAAAAGGCGTTAATATCTTTGACTGCCGAATAGCGGCCAATTCAAGCAATTTTAGCCCAATACTAACGTCTTTTTCATATTACTTGTTTTTAGAAATCTCAAAGATTTATTGAATCATAAGGAGGACGATATAGAGGAAGTGTATTGCCTGAATTTCACCATAGCCCGAGATAATTACGGATTGGCGGAAGAAGTAGAGCTTAAAGATGGAGGAAGTAACATCTCTGTGAATTTAAAAAACAGGTCAGTTCAGAGTATAACTGCAATACTAAAAAATTTGCTGTTTGATGATCGCCTAAAAGTGGCATAGATTCGTAAATCTTGGCGATCCGACTTGCTAATCAATCGTAATTGATTAGCAAATCATTTTGTATTGTCTGTTTTTTATTACGATAGACGCATGCAATTCTGTCGAGATGTTCTCTCTAAAATCCTGGCAGTACTCAAACGTTTTTTATGTAATCTCGTCTATTCGTTTAAATATCTTTTTTAAGACAATCAATTCATTCGGCAGAACCAGGAATATTCAGAGAGTTATGTCGCACGTTTGTATTCTTTATTATGTGAGGTCTCGATTATGTGAAACTAATGTCAACTAGTTATTGCCACGGATTCCCGAAAACGATTGCACGAAACGAAACGACTGCAATGACTATTGCACTTTTAAATCATGCATTGCGGCGCGATTTCTGTGCTTACGAATATGCAGGCAAGAGTATGTGGATTTATACGTGGATTGGATATTCAACAAGTCTTGCTTCGAGATGTTTGCTTTGTTCGCAAATGGTTTTTATCGAGTCCTTAAATCCGAGATTCTCTCCCTGTTCAATGCAAACGAACTAATGACGCTAGTCGCTGGCAAGGTAACATATCTATTTGATAATAATTCTTTTGTCCAGTTAATAATAATTTCGATTTTGAGAGAGCAGCTTGAAATATGAATAATGGTATACGGTCTCGAATATGTTCTGTAAAAGTTCCTTGTTTCTCAAATATAAGAATTAAGGTAGATATAGGAACTTAGCTTACAAAGGCGATGTCTGCTTAATAGTGTATGCGTCCTTATGGAGCTGCATATCGGTGTTTTCATTGTCCCTTGTCGTAGGTTTTGAAAAAAATGTCTTCGAGTCAAATTGTTTTTTGTATCATTGGAATATTATTTGAATTTAGGAGAATTATGACTGGAAAGATCTCCAGCTGCACACTGGTTACAAGGACGAATACAATCCGGATCACCCAGTTATTCGGATGTTTTGGAAAGTCTTCCATGATCTTAAACAAAGTGAGAAGAAAGATTTCTTGCGATTCGTAACTGGGTCAGATCGGATTCCGCTGTTAGGCATGGGAGAGATAAAGGTAAACGCACATTTGAACCACAGTATTCACGCAGTTTCTGCTACTAGGTCGGAATGCCTAGTACAGCATCGTTTATGTACAAATGTGAGATATTAGGATGCTTCAAGTAAATCCGGTGAAACGTTAATTGGGCTAGATGATTTTTCAATGTGTTAAAGGTAGTCCCTTCTATACACACTGGTGAGTATCTTATAGTAGCAGATGCCCCTGATGTCCATCGTAAGTACTTACCCGCCCTACGTCCAAATCTACCACCACCGAAACTCGATTTCTCTTCACCGCGACGTCCTTCTTTAACTCTGGTCCTCTGCAGCTGGTAGCAGAAATTAAACCATGCCTTATTTACGATCACTATCATCTGTAGACAGCTTTTCATAATAGTTCCGAAAATTGCCGCGGAGTACGCCAAACTTTTTTCATTTTTTTTTTCAAAAAACTTTTCTTGGAGTAAATCTCAAATGATTTTCATTCACAAGTTTCTAGAAGTGGAGAACTTACCAGGTAATTTTAGTCTGCTGACAGCGCGCAGTTTAGAAGTTAACTTCTTTTGCAACTTTTATAACGGATTCTTTTGTAATAAGCTAATGATATTCCGAAATGCACGAGAATTAGATTGCTGATTTTTTTAAGGTTGAATAGAAGCTCAAATCGTTGTACGCATTGTTATAAAATAATTTTAATGGACATTAGATTTTATCGATAGCTCAGAGACAAGATATGCAACACTGTCGTGTTTCGATGTGCTGTACTAATTACTTTTTTTTAATTATTAATTTTAAGGGACTTTTACTCTACGCTTAGGGTGTGCAAGTTTAAATAACATGCTACATGCTTGATGTGCAGTAGTATCTTTGAAGTACAGCATCACGTTCAGAATTACATAATCGTGGAAAATTTTTCAGATGGTGGTCATTCCATACCGCGCATCAACTGTGCATCTTCCAGTGGCTCATACGTGCACCAACACGCTCGAATTGCCGAAATACGAGTCGGAAACCGTTCTTAAGGAGAAGCTTATTACTGCAATAAGCCATCATGTCGGATTCGGCATCCGGTAAAAATATGCAGTATTTACTTTGAAAGAAGACCACCACGTACGACTGGCAGTAAAAAAACAGAACGTTGTTCTTACCAAGGGACGTAGGCTTTGTAATGTAAATACAAAAAAAAAGTAAGCGTCAGTTACAAAGCAGCAATCAAGTGGCAATGTCTGTACGGTCGAATGAAAAAAAAATTGACTTAATGAGGGCTGTTTTTATAGCGATATTCACAAAATTGATAAAATGAAGTCGGGACGGGATGATGGAGAAAAACGTTTGGTCGCATGGTAGATGAGAACCTGTAGCGAGGCAATAAAGTCCATGTGGCGTAAATTTGTATTAATAAAGATTTCCCTATTATATGCAACTGTCCTGACTAGTCGTGGCGATTGGTGTTCATCTTACTATCACCCTATTGAAGTGTTGAGATAAAAGTTGTTGGTGGTGACTTGCCTGAATATTACTTCGCTATTTTCAATTTGTATACTTTGTTCGAGTGTTTCAAAAGTGCATAGTGGAACTCAATAGTATCATTAGAATCGGCTAGTGGAAGTACTAGTTAAATACTGCCCTCCTTCGTTAATTTATGGTAGGTCCGACCAGGGGAGGTCAGTTCTGCCTCTGAAAGTTTGACGCCAATCCAGACCAACGGAACTGGCGGATCTCATTTTTTGCTGCACCAGAAGATATTTGACTAATGGCAATGTGAACAGTAAACTTGTTGCATCTTTGCAATATTAAAAGAAATACAACCTAAATTGAGATCAAGAGAATTTTAGAAAACAGACCAATTGCTAAGTATTGAGACTATTATTGATATTTTAAAAAAGGGTCGTTGTTTCCAAATAATGCGCCTCTTCCTCAATCCTTAGGTTACAATGATCAATTGAAATTACGTTTCGATTTAATTTTTGTACTTGTCGAAAGTTATTGTTTTCAGCAGGTTTGATAACTAAGGTTAAAAGAAGAAAAGGGTTTTCTCAAGCAAATACTCTTTTCACTATGAGCCTCAAGTTCAGAAGCTTGAGGCTAAAGAGAAATTGTGCCAAAATTTTTGGCAGCCTCAAGGGCTAAGTAAGCGCCGAATTTCGAGAAGACTACATAATTCACTCATCTTATGAGTGTTCTTTTAGCTACGGCACCAGCCTAATAGTACCGGATTAATTTTCATCAATATAATGCACCGTTTTTTTGAACTGTTTTTTTTATTTATATACATATTAGGACGAATGTGTCTGTGTCCGGCGACCAGGTACAGTCGGACAGACGATCTAGACATTTGACGTGGACCGGCTATATCTACGAACGGCCGTTAAGAGATATTCAAGCCCACACCGACGCAAGTTTAAAATTTATATATATATATATATAGTAATTTTCCCAGAGACTATTTTCCTTTCTTCTAATTATAGGTAGTCATTCTTAATTATCTGATGACTCCAAAAAAAAAATATATATATAATTTTTTTTTTGGAGTCATCAGATAATTAAGAATGACTACCTATAATTAGAAGAAAGGAAAATAGTCTTTGGGAAAATTATAAGTTAATAGTCGCTTGTCATGCCGTGTCGTAGGTTTGTTGAAAAGTCGAGCAAAATTCACCGCGATCAGGGCTTTAGTGGGGCAAGTCAATTTTAAGGACTTGTTCAGATACACACAATAACTAAGTGCTAAATAAAAAATGTCCAAGATTTACATTCTTTGTGGGTTCCACCTGACTACTACAGTTACGACACCGGCCCGCAACTGCAATGCCTATTCCATACACTAGGCATGGAGCTCTCCGGCGATACAAGCTTTTGGTTGCAATATGTGACTGCTTACTGCAGTTGTGACCGTTAGACAATGAAAATTGAAAGCTCAGCTGGTTGTCCACACAGTCATTAATAAATGATGAGGAATCAAAAACACTCAGAAGTGTTGCTTGGCGTAGCTTCTATTTCCGTCGATAGTCCCATTCGATTTGTTTACGAGTCAACGACGATCATCTTGTGGCTTCCACTTGGTTTAATGTGCTCGATCTATTCGCGTGCAATTCACCGGATATCCTAGGAACCCGTTTCCTAGAAACAACAGTTTCCACTACCACTAGCGTGCAGTCGATTATTTGTAATATGATTGTCTAAGTGTAAGATTAACCGTCGTCCACGCATAAATTAATAACCGTCCAAGGCATAAATTTTTAAAAACCTTATAGCCGTATAAACAATCCATGTAGGCGTGACTACGAAAACAAGATGTTCTACTTCATGATTCCTTTCTGCGTACTAAACCACACATCACGTCTACGCAAAAAAATATTAGAACGAACTGCACCCTAACTTTAACAAACTATCTTTGATATATCTGAGCACCATACAACCACCATGTGTAGAAGGTGTTGCTCCGTGATAAGTTATCATGAATAGGCCCTTATATGTAATCAATCTAAGTGACTAGAACTGCGCGACTGACAATGGCGTGCATGGGCAATGTGGAGATTCAGATTTCTTTGTTTCCGTAATATTTAAATTGCTTTTATATAAGTAGCTTTAAGTAGACCTAAAACAGTAACCTCAGTCATCATGACCAAACAATACATAAAATAGAATCGAATCGAGTAGCCTGTAAGAGAAGAACTTCGCGTAATGGAGTTTGCTATTTTATTCATGTTCAGTTTCATGTCGGCAGCAAGGTGTTCAATGACTAACGATAGTGCAATTGCAGAGATTACAATGAAGAAAGCTAATCGCGTGGTATAAATCAAATTTTAGGGGAAATGGCTGTATTTGCTAGTAACTATAAATTCGTTGAATAACTCAGATGATCTTTCGGCTTTACAAAAAGTGGCAAGCATAATACTTGGATGAAGTAATTTTACATATGTATATATATGAGACACATTTTTTATACCAAATATTACTTTGGATTACAATCCTCTTTGAACCCAGAAAACTCGAGGTTGATTTTATCTTCGGCGATGCTTTTGTAACCTTTCAGAGCTGAAAAATATTTTCGTGAGCCTACTACATGACTAATAGTTGACACGATGACAGCTTTAACATTAAAGGACAACTGATTGATCGAAAGTACTTACACGGACTTTGATTTCTAGTAAAAATGCCTTTAAAAGTCTTTAACAACTTCTATAACTATTCTTCTACTTCTATTCACTGTAATCATAAAATGAGTTTGCTGTGAAGATTATCCTTAAAAATATTGAACAAATTTCATAAAATCTGCTCTATAGGATTCGCGAATTCGGTAACGATTCGTTTCTAGGTCGAAAATGAAAACTGAAAATTTTTTTCATGTTGATATGTAAGCTTGCTGGAATAACCGGGGGTGGGTTCATCAACGGTTTACATACTGAAAAGCTTTTGAAAACTTTAGATATCTGCAAACAAGGCTTTGAAAAATGATTAGTAAAAAGTATGGGCAATGCCATTGCATTGATGCTATTTTGTCAGTACAAATATTCATAACATATTACGAAGTTTCTTTAAATGTGCTGCTAAATAGAATAGTAAGGATAAAATTGCTGTACACGAACTTTGAAAATGGTTTACATTAAGGAACAACTATATCAGATGTATTCTAAGAGCTATGTCGAGGTATAGATTGTATAGTTGAAATTCTATGAAAATATCTTACAAAAAAAATACGTTTGCAAAAAGATACCATAGGGCTAACCCTATAGTAATAAATAAGACATGATATTATATGTGTAAGTGTAGAAGATACCGACTGCTTTCGTGTAAGTCCATGTAATGGCAGCAGCTTTTTACTCGCTTCGGCAAATAAAAGAGACGAAAACTACTGCATTGTTATTCGCATCCCTTTTTAAGCATGACATAAGTTCATGTGTATAACCGTATGCAAGAAATTTATGCTGACGTATTATTTCTACATTATTTCATTATGCATCAACGATTATTTCCACTGCTAAAGCAGTGTCTTCATCTATTTCCTAGGAATTGATGCAGGCGATTCATGCAATGTTCAGGATGCACAAGCCTCAATAAGCATATACATTGGATTACTGATGCTTTCTGAATATATTTGCTTCCAAGTAACAAGCTTTAACCGTTTGTAGTCACATCTTTTATTTAAGACAACAGTCTTAAGAACAAGTAGTTTTGTCTTCGAATGGAGACTCTTGGTCATAACAAACCCTTTCAATATCGCATTAAGGTAGTTTGCTATGACTGATATATCATGGTCACTTTAAACGTGATACCTTTCAAATGAAATTAGAAGCTTTTCAGCGAAGTCTTTAGAGCAAATCCGACAGAATTCAAATTTAGTCGGGCAATTTTGAGTGAAATCGGCAACAAGACTCATTAAGAAGAACCATTAAAACGCCGTCATTGTCGGGCTGTGTCCAAAACGTGTTATATTAACAACACAACGGGATTGCGCCAGCTATTACATATGCCCGAGAAATTAATAAATCTATTAGGGAAACGGCGAGGCCACTAGACTTCACCGATGTTTGCCAATGTACAAATATATTTGTCTCTAATAATTTAACATGTACATAAGGTCAAAAATCAAAATGACAGATTTATAACCTGATTAATTTGTTAGAAGGAATGTGCGAAAATGGTATCCGATTATGGCAAGAAGAGCTTGAACTCACAGCATAAGTGAGGAAATGGTATGAGCTAAGTTACATTCGTGTTTTTGTATGTCGAAAGCCTATACATTTAACATAGTTTTGCAACGCTATTTTAATAATGATTCGTAACTTAACATGTATACATATCGACAACACACCTACAGATGTTGCACCTTGATTTTTCACAAAAAAACCTTATTGTAGACGTTTGCAGGAGAAGCCCTGCTTATCCAGTGTTAGCTCTTATAACGTAATAGGATATAACTGGTTTCCTTTTAACGGGTCACGGTGGTTTATTCTACCTGTTGAAAAATGCCTGATTCAGCTTGGTGTGTAAGGTGCCTGTCTGACTTACTTTGAAGAGTCCCCGATTTGCTCTGACAAGTGTTTTACTTAAAGCGCAAGTTGTTAGATAACAATGCCTGGCGTCATTCTATGTCGAGGCTGTAAAAACGAAATACCACGAACGAAGTCGTGTTTCTTCGAGTAATGATAATAACTCCATATATGCAATCCTGGCATATGAATTTTTTCTTGATTATTAGCAGTGTTTGTGAGCAATATAAGTGATTTTCTGAATGCCTTATGAATCGATAAGCACTGTTATATAGGACCCTATTTGCAATGACGACCGAAATGTGCCTTGACTGAGAAACAAATGAGCATATTATCTAACATAATTCGTATGTAGCTATGAGATATTTCTCTCGTACGTTCACAAGAACGTTATCAAGAATGCATCGCACGCTTTTATTGTGGAAAATTTATTTATTTGTCGCCTATAATTATACATATAACAGGCGGTCATTACTTCTATCGTTCACTGGATCTTTTGCCAGGCACCACATCAGAAATCATAAATATACTTCCATGCAGGTGTATGTACATCGTTTAAAGACAGAAATCAATTAAGTTTACTAGGAAAACGAATATTTAGCAATTATTAAATTCGTTATTGTCGGTACGAATAATTCTTGACAACCTTATTGTTCATGTGGAATACATGTACAACAACGCAAATCAATGATTCAAGTACCGCTACAGCGTTGATTTATAAAGGTTTTAACAAGTTTCACGCTTTTGAAAAATTAATACTCATTCATTTATTACGCCTTACTTATACCTATATAATGATAAATAGCTAAACATGCCTGCCCGCTACAGATATTATTCAGCCGCGCTCATTCTTCTTGTTTGTCTTTTCATATGTGAGTGAGAAATACTTGCAGTAAAAACGTACTCATACAACATTTTCGCAATTTTTGTCAGAACTCGATAGTAGGCTTGTTACCTTAACATGTTTCAGTTAGCAGCAGTAGGCACTTTCAATTTCAAAACGTTATAGGACTACAAAAACAGGCGACAGATAGTTGGTACGTCTGTGCAAGGCTTTGCCAATGTGCTTCCTTTGTCAGAATTGGAGTATCAAACTGATCCATGTCACCTGACATTCTAATGTGCCACCTGCGGCTGAACTTCACCAAGAATTGTCCGAGCAGCTATGAAGTCCTCGTTATTCACCAGATCCGGCTCCGCGTCGAGAATAACTGGAAAATTATAAAAAATTAAAATATCTCATGTCGTTACCTGAAAGTATGCATAAATAATTTAGAGGGCAAATACATAAAATATACTTTTCTACAAAGGTAAAAAAAATTAAATCTTACCTTTGAGCTCGTCCCATGCTGCATGAAGTCGTTTGCGACAGTCGGGGATCATCATCCGTGATTCTTGGATAACTTTTTCCTGAAGCATTAGAATACAATCGTATTAAAAAGGTAGCTTACTGCAAGTCCGCAACGGAAAGTAACAATTCCAAATAGGCCTTAAATTACTATTATATATGCATATAAGACTTGCTTGTCACCTTTCCTAATGAGTACATTTTTTTCCAAAACAACGCAACCGATATATCGGTATGAGAAAGCTTTTTTCCCCGAAGTTTACCGTTGTAAATCAAATTGTCTTAATTATAGCATGTCAAAAACATCTTTTACAAAAAATGAGTATGTTACTATGAAACATGGTTTTGGTTATGTTATGTGTAGGAGTCCGAAAGATTCCTTTATATAGAGGAATTGATTTTTATCATTTTTAGTAAGTAGGTTTAGCCTGGTGAAAAAGTTTTGCGCTGAAGACTTATATCCTTAAAAATGCAAAAATCAATCCCAAAGAATGTGTATAATGCCATACGTCCTCTTCGCAACCATTAATAACGCCGCTGAATTCATAAACACTGTAGACGGTCTTTGTGTCTCGATACCTAATTATTAAACGTAAATCGAAAATAAGTTTTGTGTTTCCAACACCGAAAATAAATGCAATATAAATATAGCATTCCGTTCACGTAGTAATATTCTAGCAAAATGCATTGTAACAAAACGTTATGTAAACGATCAACTGATCAAGCTACACACCTGTAACTTGATGCGGCTGTCTTCTTGGCCTTCTTGCTTCATTTTAGCGAGCCTTTCTTCTTCTCGGACGGATTCCTTCTCGTAGGCCACCACCTCTTTGGACAATCGTTTTACAATTCCACTTTTGATTTTGATGGTCCGTAAACGAGGATCCGGTTTCGTAGACATCGCGCGACAACTCGAACTGATTACATACAGATTACGATAAAACCGTACGAATGAACAGATTATTAGAGGTTACCCGCCAAATTCTTGAAACTGGGAGTTGAAAATGGAAGAACACATTGTTTGTTTGTTCATTCGATTTTATCACTAAGATTTATCCTTTTAGTGATCAGCGTTGACAAATCAAGTTAATCGAAGTTTCTCACGAAAAAAGATAAGTATAGTGTAGAAAACCACGGCACTCAAAATTCAATATTTGATGAAATACCTCTACGAAATACGAAACCTGATATATTAATAGCTTCGCTACATTATAGCAAAAAGTCATCTATGTTTGTTGCAATCCATGTAGATACCCTTCCTTTCGTTTAATGTCACCTTAACCGCTAGTTACGATAGCCACGTTTAATAGTATATATAAAAGCATAAGCAAATATGCATATTTAACTAACTGACACCTTTATGAGCCATTTGTGCACCCAAAAATACACTAGTCGTTCACAACGGAAACGCAGTAATGGAACCATCATTAACACTAATCTACATTGCTTAGCTAATAATTAGATATTATTCCCAGTACCCACGCTAGGACAGTAGTTCGAACAAACGCACTGATTGGATCTTCTATGTCTATGTAGACGGTGGGTTTTTATTGCGAGGTACTTATAGCCGCTATAGCTTCTTAATTCGTTTCTATTTAACCGGTTCGTGTAGAAGTGCTGTCGACTAAAAATCTCGATATCTAAATGCAAATTAATCACCTGACAGGAACATTAGAAATATGGATATGATCATAGCGTATTCTGGTATAGTGCAAGCGCTTTCACAAGTAGATTGTGCCTTAAATTTTTGCCCTTTGTATTTGCCGCTTCCATTAAGTATATAGCATAGTGAACTAATAGCGAACGACGACTCGCTTCTTGACTTACTTGTTCGAGACGCGGCCGCCCGAGTCAAAGGAGTCAATGCTTAACACGCCGGGACCGTATCCACTTCGTTGCAGTTACGCTACCCTACGCAAGTGGTATTAGACGTTAATAATACTCACTGATTGTACAGTATCAGCAAACTGTAGTTTATTAAACGACGCACTTGTGTTTTGCCCGAAAGCGGCTATTTTTGTTGATACCTCAAAGGCCTGGCAAATAAACAGTATTGGTCGCCGTAAGCACCGTCCGAACGTCGAGGCAACGACTACACAATGTTGTAAAACATTTTTTCGTTTATATTGTATGCTTGCGGACGGGAATCAGAACATGATCAGATACTAACATAAACGAAGCTTCACAATGAAATATTAATATTTTTAAATGCCGCAATACATTATGTCTTACTTAAAAAAAAGATTAAAGAGGACAAACTTTTTGTAAGATATAGAGGATCTAAGTAAACCCGAACATAGTTTGTCCGGTTACATTTCGGTTTTGACAGGCGACATATGCACACATAAACGATAGAAAAGAAATACGAAATTCTTCTGAGTTTTTTAACTGTATTAACTGAATCATTATTGGGCTGACAGTTAAGGAATAGGATCAGGCCGTCAGAAGCCGTTCTCTCATCTAAGGAATTTCCACAGAGTGGTGAATTATAGTGAGATGATTATAACGTGAAGAAGACAGGTACTCTTCTGTGATTACCTGAAAGTTTTTGGTAATATCTGTACACGACGCCTCAACAGACGTTAAGGCAGCACCAGCTATGACAGCAAAATACTCTCTGCTTTTGGAGCAGTAGTCCAATGGAGGGATTTTCCGTCTGTGTATTTTCTACGATGCTGTCTGGTGTTGTCTCTAATACAGACAAGCAGATCTCAGCTGCTGCTTGTGGTGTTTGTATCGTGAGCGCCGTCTGGCAAATCAACGGCCATAGTCCGTTCTGTATTTGTCGGACTCCATTTACCGCTAAGTCAGCGGGGCTCTTGGCGCGCGAGCTAGGGAATAGCGAAATCACACAGACTTCTGCAGCAAAACGCGTCAAATCTGTTTGATAAATTTGTAAAGTGCATCTAATCTGGTCTCGAACTTTCATAGATAATAGTCATTAGTTTCACACAGCTAGTTTAACTGGAATTTAAGAGTTTGATTGTGCTGTGGCGGGCCTTGGTATCAAGAATAGTCTTCAAGATAGCAGCGTTCTAATTCATGTTAAAATCTTAGCATTTGCCGAACAAAAATCAAATTGATCAACTAAGGATAGTTCAATTATAGCTGGACGGATTTCCGCGGTTTCTGAGGTTTCAGATTTCTGTGAGGATTTTTATGTTTAACGCACATTCTATTTATTTATATATTTTAATGCAAAATAGCTATAATTATAGTAGAGCTTTATATATGTTATTAGAATATAATAACAGAAGATCCTAACGAGAGGCGTTATATGTCACTGGGGTAAGTCAAACCGTTAAGTTTCCGACTAAACCCGGAACCACCAGTAGAACAATTTAATAGATCTTTCTAGAACTCTGTGTCTGCGTGTTTGTTCATTCACTTATTTATTTGTCCAGCTTGAAGCTTATTGAAGAAGTTAATTTTTGATCAATCGCTAGAGTATTATTCGGAATAGAACCTCGCTTAAAATGGAGCCGATTAGATTATTACATTTTCACGGGCCTCGTTTGTTATTTTATGCCATTGAACATAATGTCAACTTAGGAAAACTGGTTATTGTTCGCAACTTTTTTTTTGCAAGATTCTCTTGTACATGGGGTTGAGGTGCGCTATTTTTAAATAAGGCTTCTGTTACAAAATTTTTTTTACTGGCAAAATGATAGTTGAATACTTACATGGAGGTTTATATATGCAATCATGCCTGATACCAATTAAAAGCTCTTGCTCAGCTGAATGGGAATGTAATGCATATACATATACTCAAAGCTTAGTTCAAGGTTGAGAATCCCTCCGACGGGTGAAAGCTTATTATGGTATTCTATCTAAACCTTTTTCTGTAACACCAGTAGATGAAATTGGTATTATGGCATGAAAAGGCTGAAACTCGAATGCACTAGATTTTTCGCTTAGATGACACTGGAATGAAAATTTTTCACACTGTAGAACTCTATGTAGGGAAGAGATTTCTTGGTACCAATGGTAAGCTTTTGATAGGCTTAATCGAAATGTAACACATGTTCATAGACCTAAAGCTCAGTTTCCTGGTCCAAAATGCCTTTTGAAAGGTGAGAATGTAAAGTGGTGTTCTATGTAGGAAAAATTTTTGTTAACTCCAATCGATAGATTTCGATAAGCTGAATTAAATTGTAA